TAACAACTAAGCTGCACCATATCCAAACCATGATCTTTCAATTACTTGCTATGCATCTGAGAGTTGAACAATTAATAAGGATGACAAAATAATAATTGATGCTTTTGAGTTGTGGTGTTGGAGAGGAGTATTAAATATTCCATGGATTGCCAAAATAACAAACAAATATGCCTTGGAGAAAGTGCAACCACAATGCTTTTTAGACCTAAAGATGGTAAAACTTCATCTTATGTCCTTTGGGCATGTTGTTAAGAAAGGGCAGTCCTTAGGGAAAAACATCTTGCTTAGAAAGCTAGAAGGTGTGAAAGAGAGGAAGACTCTAAACAAAATGAATTCACATAGTGACTATAATAATGGGTTCAAGAATATCAATTGGTGGGGAGCTCTGGTGGCCTAGTGGCGAGGAGCTGCAACTACAATCCCAGAGGCACACAGTTCGAGACCACCAGATGCTCTGCCGGGAAAGGAGGGGCAATCTCCTCCTGTACCAGTCAGATCTGATTTGACGGTACACGCACACAAAAATAATAAAATAAAAAATAAGAATATCAATTGGTAAAAATGGCATAAGATAAAGCAGGGTTCGGATGTGTTGATCACTGGTTGCTATGAGTCTTAGTCAACTGGATGGCACTGAAAACAATAATACTCTTTTACCACTGTTTATACTTAATAGAAATATTTTGTCCTTTCTAATTACAGTCAATCTCATTGGAGTTTCCAGATAGACAATAATGTCTGAAAATAAGACTTTCAGTTATTCTTTTCAAATTCTATGTCATATTTCTTTTGACAGGGAAATTTTTACATATTCTAATACATTGTGTTGAAAGACCCCCAAAGTTGTATTAAAAGTTTTAAAAATATTTTGTTCCACATTGTATGAAGAGTAGCAAATACTTTTCCTTGAAATTAGTTCTAATCTTTGGTTTTAGGTAATCTTAATTTACTTCATTTTTAAATGGATATGTTCATTCACATAAAATTCACCATTTTAAAAAGTATGTAGTTCAGTGGTTTTTAGTATACTCACTATAATATAGTGCTATCACTATTTCATTCTGGAAGATTTCCTTTGCCCTCAAAAAGAAACCCCATATTCATTATTCAATCCTAGTTTCTCTCTTCTTTTTTTTGATGAGAAAAATTTGTATTTAGAATTAGCCAGCTGGACTCAGTTTAGATAATCCCAATTTTGTTAGTAATACCCAAAGCATCATAGACAGGAGCAAGTCAAACATAGGCCATCTTCTCTCCATCAGGCCTAAACAAGGTGTTGACCTTAGCCAGATCAATGTCATAGAGCTTCTTTAAAGTTTGTCTGATTTGGTGCTTGTTGTCCTTGATATCCACAATAAACCAGTGATTGAAAAGACCATGGCCTGAATCAGGGGTACTTTAGTTCTCCAACTAACATCATCCATTTGATAGATTGTTGATCCAAGTAAGAAAAAGTTTTTGATCATTTAAATCTTTTCTCCATCTATCATGATGTTGGCTGTGGTGAGGATTTTTGTTTTCTTGACACTGAGATACAATTCCTATTGAAAGCTGTATTCTTTGATTTCTGTAGCAAGTGATCCTCACTTGCAGCAAGCAAGGTTATGTCATCTACATAATGCATATTATTGATGAGTCTTCCTTCAATCCTGATGCAAAATTCTTCAGTCTAGCTTCTTAAATAATTTGCCCAGCACACAGATTGAAGAGGTATGAAGAGAGGATACAACCCTGACACACTCTTCTTAATTTGAAACCATGTAGTGTTCCCTTGCTTTGCTCACAAAACAGACTCTTGGCCTGGGTATAGGTTTCACATGAGCACAGTTAAGTGTCCTGAGATTCCCATTCTTATCAATGTTATCCATAATTTGTTATGATCCACACAGTCAAATGCCTTTACATAGTCAATAAAGCATAGATAGATATTCTTCTGGTATTCTTTACTTTCAGCCAGGATCCATCTGGCATCATCAATGACATCCCTAGTACCACACCCTTTTCTAAATCCTGCTTGAACTTCTGGCAGTTCCCTGTCTATTACTGTTCTAGCTAGTTTTTAATGATCTTCAGCAATTTTTAACTTGCATGTGATATTGATATTGTTTGATAATTTATCAATTCTGTTGGATCACATTTTTTTATTAATTTTAATGAAAGTTTACAAAGACTTAGGGTTTCCAGTCATCATTGTTGCACTTTTCTCTCTACTCCCACCCCAATTCACTCTTGTACTTGAAAAGAAAAATTTTCATTGTTATGCAGTCCCTCCCCCTAAGTCCACTCCACTATGCAGCCTTCACTCTGGACTTCTGTAATGACATTCTAGAAAACCCATTCATATATCCCTTTTAAACAGTTCCCTCCCTCATCTGTTTCAATGCAATATACATCATTCCTCCCCTCCTTTTCTGTCTTCCCTCAACCCTGATGTCAGTCCCATTTTACAACAGTGGCACTATGCAGTGTTTGTCCTTTTGTGACTGAGATATTTCACTCAGCATAATGTCCTCCAGGGTCACCCATTTTGCATAATATTTCATGAGTTCCTTGTTTTTCAATGCTGCATAGTATTTCATTGTGTGAATATGCCAGAGCTTCTCTAGCCATTCATTTGGATCATATTTTTGGGGGAATGGGAACAAATAGGGATCTCTTCCAGTAAGTCTGCCAGACAGCTTTATGGGATCCTATATAGATAATTCCCAGTGACTAGGAACATTAAGCATCAGCTGGATAATGGCCTTCAACAATATAAAAGGAATCCCTGCTTTGACACAGTTCTGATGGTGTTGTCTACAGGGAGTTTAGCTGCTAACCCAAAGACCATGCTTCTCTGGTAGTTCGAATCCACCAGCAGCTCCTCTGCAGAAAGATGCGCAATCTCCTCCTGTTCATAGAAAACTCCATGGAGGGTCAGCTGAGTCTGTTTTGACTCCTCTACAATGAGTCAGAAACTACGATATTTATTCCTATACAAAAATCTATAGAACACTTAGATTTGTGAACACTCCTAAAAAATGAAATCTCTGCCTGGAATAGCAAAGAAATGAAAGGGGCTATCCAGTTAAATGATGTACTGATTAAATTTAAAAGTGCACAGGAGCAAAAATGTTTATTAGTCTGTTTTACTGTAAAGACTTGGGTGTTGCTGTGAGGTTAGAAGCTATGCCAGCAGTATTTCAAATATCAGTAGAGTTACCCATAGCAGGCAGGTTTCAGTAGTTGTTGTTATGTACATTGAGTTGCCTGCAACTCATAGTAACCCCGTGTACAAGGGCCCTAAACTCTGCTCTATCCTGTGCCAATCTTTTGTCTCTGACACACCCACCCCATTACCCCAGTCACTGAATCAATCTATCTCATAGAGGGTCTTTCTCTCTTGCGCTGTCCCTCCACCTTCCCAAGCATGACATCCCTCTCCAAGGACTGGTCCCACCTTGAAACATGTCCAAAGCATGTCAGATGGAGCTTCAGAATCCTTGCCCCCAAGGAGCAGCCTGGCATCACCCTCTCCAGGACGAACCTGTTTGTTTTCTTAGCAGTCCATGGTATGTTCAGTACTCTTCTCCAACACCACAGCTCAAAGGCATCAATTCTCCTTCTATCATCCCTAGTCATTGTACAGCTCTCTGATGCATAGCAAGTGATTGCAAAGACCATGGCCTGTATCAGGCACACCTTGGTCTCCAGACTGACATCATTGCTCTTCAGGTTTCAGTAGAGCATTTAGATTAAGATAGACTAGGAAGAAAAAGTGATAAACTACTTCTGTAGTTCACATGATGTAGTGCCAGGGGATGAATCCCCCATGTTAGAAGGTAAAATATGACTTCCTCTTCAAAGTAGAGCCTACCTTAACAATGTGAATGGAGTAAAGCTTTTGGGACCTTCCTTTGCTAATCTGACATGACTTGAAATCCAAGTTGAAAGGAAGTACTGCAAAAGTTTATTCATTTAATACCTTTGAATTATACTAGCAAAGAATAGTGATTACACCGTAACCTGCCAGAAGAACAAACAAATCTATCTTGAAGAAATATAGCCAAAATATTTCTTAGGAGCAAGAACAGTCAGAGTGTCTCGGACCTTCCTTTGCTAATCTGACATGACTTGAAATCCAAGTTGAAAGGAAGTACTGCAAAAGTTTATTCATTTAATACCTTTGAATTATACTAGCAAAGAATAGTGATTATACCGTAACCTGCCAGAAGAACAAACAAATCTATCTTGAAGAAATATAGCCAAAATATTTCTTAGGAGCAAGAACAGTCAGAGTGTCTCACATATTTTTTTATTTGTTATCATCCCAGACCAGTCCCTGGAGAAGGATATCATGCTTGGTAAACCACAAGGTTAGCATAAAAAGAAGATGACCCTCTGTGCACTCTGTTAGCACAATAGGCTCAAACACAGCAATGATTGTGGGGATGTCTTAGGAGCAGGCAATGTGTCCTATTGCACGCAGGGTCACTATGAGCTTAAACTGATTCCACAGCACCTAAGAACAACCCCCACAGAGAAGCTTTTATCAAGTACCTTTGTGTACTTGATATGTATAGAGGGCCTACGTGGGGGGAGACAGAGAGTGAATTTAGGTCTCTTTAAGAAAGTAGAGATTAGACAATCTCCTCCTGTACCAGTCAGATCCAATTTGATGGTACACTCATACAAAAATAAAAAAAAAA